TGTTTTTTGTTGGGTTCACTGATGACTGATTACGAGTATAATTTATGTTCCCTGCCCGTCACTCCTTCCACCAACGTACTTCATCGTGTTTTAATTTCCGCGTTGCCATTCCTACCCTCAGCCTGCTCTAGCCTCCTCTGGTGAGCGACCTCTGCCGACGCATCATGGCGATGAATTTGAGTCAGACGCGGGCCATCATACGCCGGCGAAGGACATGTCGCAGCTGTCGCACATGGTCGTGCGACGAGAGGAGGGCAGCCCGGTTTCGGTGCTGGATGTGGGCATGCGACGAAGCGACGAGAGCGATTCCGAAGGCAACAGTGGCGAGTTATTCGCTGGTGAGTTACGACTGCTCTTGCATAACGAACTGACTTAGTTTTCTGTTCAGAAAATCATGTTGCGTTCTTCCAACATTCATATCGTGATTCCCAATTTACTCTCTTCCCTCTGCTCAGCACACATCCGACGAGTCGTCGCCTCACCATTTCCTCTTTCTTCTCTTCGCTTCCCCTTTTCAATCAGATCGTTCCGTCAACTCCGTCTCAGAGTGCTACCCAGACGCGACCGCCGCATTGCGGCGACCATCGCAAGCGTCGCTCGCGTCGCCCAGCCAACATGGCGACGTCGCCGTGGACCTCCTCCGCCTGTCGCCGCAAGACATCGTCGGTGACGTGGCAGGCATGGAGCAGGACCTCGAGTACGTGCGCCACGTGCTCCTCATCTCCGGTTTTGGCGGGTCGTCAGTGCCGCCAATCTTCTCGCGCAATCTGCCGATAAACCCGGTGGTTTTCGAGCAACTGGAGTTTGAGATCACGGGACAGCTGTCCCAGCACTTTCCGTCCTCGTTATCCGCGTCCTCGTTATCCAGTACAAGCCCTTCGTTAATAGGCCTAACAAGCCCAGTTGCTTCTTCCACTGTCGGAGCAGCAACAGGCGCGTCTGCTGGTGCAGTTGGCGCGGGGGTTTCGCGCCCGCCGTCTCCGTCGCTCTTTCCGCTCCCCAGCTTCGCCGTCGGCGCGCAGAACACGTCGGAGGAGCGCCGCCAGCGCATGCTGTTATTTGATGCGGTCAACGAGGCGCTAGGCCGCACTCTCGCGCCGTATCTTGAGGAGCTGCAAGTGCAAGATGCGATTAATCGCTGCTCGGGTCGGCCGTCGCAGCTATTCGCAGATACTACTAATACTAGCTACGGCCTCTGGGAATTGGATAACGGCGCGTCTTTTTTCGCGTCGTGCTGTTCCGCCTCGCGCAAGCCCGCGCTTCTCCGCCCGCGCCCAATCGGCCGCCAGCTGCTGCAGCGCGTATGGGCGGAGGTGCACAGCTGGCCGGTTGCGCCGTCGGATGACGTGTACGACATTCTGGATGACGCGGCAAGGAGGGACATGGTCCGCGGAACGGAGCGCTGGTCCGCGGAGGAAGTGGCAGCTGCGGAGGTTCCGCAGGTGGTGTTTGCGCTGGAATGCGCGGTGTTAGAGCGCGCGCTAGAGGAGATTTGCCGCGAGTTTGCGGAAGTGGAGGAGGAGCGCGCGCTGTCGCGGCAGCGAAGGCTCAGCGCGAATGGCGCTGCGGAGGGGGTGTGCGCGGGGAAAGCTCCTGGGGGAGGGCTGCGGAAAGGGGGGAGCGGAACCGAGAGAAGGTGGCTGCCGCGACGGTTGAATTTCTGATTGTAATGGGTACAATCAGACTGGTACAAGAAACCGTCCGTTCGTGTGAATAGCACTTACGAACTGGAGAACCGTTTTCATTGATTTAGCTAGAAGGTGGGTGGTTGTAGAGATTGGTGATGCAGGTTGGGAAGTGGATAAGCCCAAACCCAATTGACAAAATAAAGAAAGCTGTAGTTTGTTACCAGCCTTATTGTATTTTAGGGGTCATAAATGATTGATTCTATGACCTTATGATGAAAAAATTGACACCACACCAGGGATCTTTGGTAAGTTAGGGGCATTACCTTGTTTTCACTATTATGCATTCTTGTTTAAAACCAATATTACTGGAAGGTTTCACTGGAGACAGTATTTATTTCCAGCTATGTTTTGCTGCCATTTGATTGGATGTCATGTCGAAATCCATTCGATAGAATATTCGCGGCAGCGGTTCCTCCATGTCGCTGGCTCTAGATTTATATATAATAGGGTTTTCAGCTTAGCGGGGACAGGTATCCCGACCCCTCCGCTTTCAGGGGACGGGTTTCGCAACCTGCGCACAGTTTCCGCAAAACGTTGGGCTAGGGGGGGACAGTTATCGTTCAGGTAAGGGACTCGAGCTCTCAATGCGAGGACCCCAAAACCGTGGACTGGTCCGCCGGACCAGGTTGAGTCCGTACTGGCGAACCAGCTTCGGACTGGTCCGCTGATGAAATCTACAGTGGCGTGAAGGCGAGAACACTGCGTGTTTTTCCCAACACTAGGTTACTATGACTCGTAAGGGCTTCATGTCATTGGGCAATCCGCCATCGCGCGCTGTCAAGTTTTGCGACACTTGTGGGGTGAGTTCGCAACTATTCGTGAAAAGACGACTGTTCAGGAGTCCGACGTGGACCAGCTCGCCGAACCAGTCAAGACTCCCCAGTACAGTCCTTTTCCGTCGTTAAAACACGCGGGTCCACGCTCCGGTCCACGCTCGGGTCCGTGGTGGTTTGGTGGACTGGTCCACTTCGACCGCCTAGATCCAGCGTGGACCGAAGATTTTGAGACAACCTCTAAGCTGTATGTTCAACGGCTGCGATCAAAATATGGGCTTGTATCGTGCGTGCAACTGGCTGGTACCAAATGGAATTGGGCAGGCTTACGGGCAGACCAAATGTGCGTGCAACAGCTGAGCATCGTGTGTAACGAGAAGGTTGGTCGCGAGATGGGAAGAACAGTGCAATACGCGGTATGCAGGATCACGCGAAGTCAGGAGTTCTAGTTGTACAACGGGCAATCGCAATACATTGAAATAGGATCGATAACGTGAAACCTCAAAAAGGGCTGCCCCGAGTGAGGATCGAACTCACGACCTTAGGATGGCTACCGCCTCACGAGAGTGAGAAGTCGGATTACTATGAGACCTACGCGCTACCGACTGCGCCATCGAGGCTTGACAATGGAGTAATATATTTGTTATTATTCTGTTATAAGTGTGCCTCCTGGACACCACTAATCTGGCTGGCGCACGAGCATTGGGTAGGGCTGCAAGTAGCAGCCATGACTTGATTTTTTAGGGCGCATGGGACATATGATGGCAGCAGTGGCGTCGCGGATGCCGTGACAGAGCGACTGTCTATATGTCACTATTTCTCTCCTGTCAGTTGTAAGAGGAAATTAGCGACCCAATTTATCAGCGGTTCACATTAGGAGTAAGCTGCGGGAAGGGGCGGCGGCGAAAACTCGCAGCGTGGTTCAATTTCCTGCCGCCGTTTAGGCATTCGCCCGTAGCAGCAGCAACAGCGCCGGCCGACGAGCCATTTACTGACAATATGATGACTGCTAATTCGATTAGATATTAAATTCGCCCGTAGCTGCATCAGCCGCTGAAGAGGCGTAAGTAGCAATGTGGCGCGACCAGACGTCGCTAGTAAATGACTCACCAAGCCACAAAAAGGCTTAAAAATAGCAGCGCAACAGCAGCAACAGCACCAGCAACACCACCAGCAACGGGGAGGCGCTAATAGTAGTAGCTATGACGCGGCCAGACGTCGCTAGCAGATGACTTACCAGATGACTTACTAGGTCACAAAGACTTAAAATAGCAGCAGCAGCAGCAGCAAGTAAGAGGTGCTAGTAGTAGCAATGGCGCGGCCAGAAGTCGCTAGCAGATGACTTACCAGATGACTTACTAGGTCACATAGACTTAATATAGCAGCAGCAGCAGCAGCTGAGGGGCGCTAGTAGTAGCAATGGCGCGGCCAGACGTCGCAATCAGAGCGGCGGGCGGCGGGAGGTGGCGCGGACGGGTGGCAGCGTTGGCGTATCTCGCCGCATTCGCACTCGCTATAGGGGTGAACTTGAACCCTCTGTACCGATCCAAACCGCAGCAAATGACACACGATCCCCTTCTCTCTGTTTCAGATTCTGCTGCTGCTGATGCTGCTGCTGGTGCTGGTGCTGGTGGTGCTGGTGGTGCTGGTGCTGTTAGTGGTGGTCAAGTTAGTGGTTCTGATAGTACTAGTAGCACCTCCCACATAGACTCCTCTCCCTCATCTACCCTCGCAGCCTCCCATTCTCCTCCGCCTTCCCCTCCGCTTCCTCCCCCCGTTCCCCCTCCGCTTCCTCCCCCCGTTCCCCCTCCGCTTCCTCCCCCTTTTTCCCCACCACTTCCTCCCCCCCTTTCCCCTCCGCCTCCTTCCCCTCCCGTCTTTCCTCCGCCTGTTCCTCTCATTTCTCCTCCTCCTTCCGGTTCCCCGCCCCCTCCTTCTCCTCCCCTTTCTCCTCCTCCTTCCGTTTCCCTTCCACCTCCTGCTCCTCTCCTTTCTCCTCCTCCTGCTCCTCTCCTTTCTCCTCCTCCTGCTCCTCTCCTTTCTCCACCTCCTTCCCCAAGAGAAGAGACAGCAGCAGCAGCACAAACAGCTATACAAGAACCAGCATCAGCAGCAGCAGCACTCGTTTCACCAGCTGACGTGGCAGGAGCCCCTCCCGTGTCAATCGTTTCAGCTGCTGACGTGGCAGCAGACGCGGAGGAAGGGCAGGAGAGTCTGCAAGCGGGGCTGACTATAGTGAATACATCTAGTGATCCCGGTGCAGGTAGGTAGGTGCTACAGTCTGGGTGGCTGGGCTGCTGCTAGCGGGGCTGACTATAGTGAATGCTTCTAGTGATCCCGGTGCAGGTAGGTGCTATGGTCAGTCTGGGTGGGGGGCCATATAGCTGGAAGGAAGGCTAGGCAGTTACTAGTGATGGAGGGCTTGGGGGGGTGAACGGCTGGGTGTTGGTGATTCGGTGGGGGCAACACGTGTGGTGAGGTGACTTTTGAGTCGACTCCAAAGTCACCTTGTGAACGGCTGGGTGTTGCGATGGATGATGGATGGGTGATTCGGTGGGTGAAACACCTGTGCTGCAAAGGAGGACGGCTAGGTTGCAAGTGGTGGGGCGCGGTGGTCTTGGGATCGGTTGACGATAAGTACAGGGCTGGCGATAGTGATGCCTTCTGATTATCTTGTTGCTGGGGTTATGAGTTGTCATGTCACTGGGATGGATGGATGGATGGATGGATGGATGGATGGATGGATGGATGGATGGATGGATGGATGGATGGATGGATGGATGGATGGATGGATGGATGGATGGATGGATAGGCACGTGGATCAGCTGGCGGGAACTGTAGGCTGCTGTTGTTGGGGTGGGGCTGAGGATAGGCTTCATCATTATCTTGTCCTGAGAAATGAAAGGGTAGGCTGCTAGTGCTGGGAAACGCGTTGGCTGTGACTTTTGAGTCGACTCAAAAGGACTGCCATGCATGGTGTGGCCAGCAGGAGAGAGTGAGAGCGTAGCATTTGTGACTTTTGAGTCGACTCAAAAGTCACCTCTGAGAATAGGGATGCTTCATCATTATCTTGTCCTGGAAAACGCGTTGGCTGTGGGATGGAAGGACGGATGGGTAGGCGGTTGGGTCAGCTGGCCTGACCAGAAGGGTAGGCTGCTAGTGCTGAAGGAAAAGCAGCCTGGCCTGGCGAGGCTGCTAGTGCTGTCACCCCTCTGCTATAGGGGCGGGGCTGCTGGCCGGATGGGTAGGCGGTTGGGTCAGCTGGCCTGGCCAGAAGGGTAGGCTGCTAGTGCTGTCGCCCCTCTGCAATAGGGGCGGGGCTAACAATACGGATTTGTCCTGAAGTTCTCAGCACACGTGCTGATGCCCCTCTGCACCCCTCTCCATCCCTCTCCATTCCTCTCCACCCCCATGGTCCTCCAGTCTGCCTGGACGGTTCCCCTCCAGCCTTCAACTGGCATCCTGGCAGGGGCACCGGGAGGAACAAGTGGATTCTCTATCTTGAGGTGGGTGCTGTGCGGTGCAGGGAGGTGATGTGCTGTGCTATAGATTAGCCTACAGTGCATTGCGCAAACTCCTCTCTGGCCTTCAACTGGCATCCGGGCAGGGGCACAGGGAGGAACAAGTGGATTCTCTATCTTGAGGTGGGTGCTGTGCGGTGCAGGTTGGTGACGTGCGGTGCAGCAGATTGCTGTGCAATGCTTCAATGTTCAGTGTTGTGGGATGAATTTGTCCCCTCCAGCCTTCAACTGGCATCCTGGCAGGGGCACGGGGAGGAACAAGTGGATTCTCTATCCTGAGGTTGGTGCTGTGCGGTGCAGGGAGGTGATGTACGGTGCAGAAAATTACAGTGCATTAATGTGCGGTACTGTGGGTTGGATTGCGCAAACTCCCCTCTGGCCTTCAAATGGCATCCTGGCAGGGGCACGGGGAGGAAAAAGTGGATTCTCTATCTTGAGGTGGGTGCTGTGCGGTGCAGAGTGGTGATGTACGTGCAGTGCAGTAGATTACAATGCAGTGAGTTGCGGTACTGTGGGGTGGATTTCTCCTCTCCGGCCTTCAACTGGCATCCTGGCAGGGGCACAGGGAGGAACAAGTGGATTCTCTATCTTGAGGTGGGTGCTGTGCGGTGCAGGTTGGTGACGTGCGGTGCAGCAGATTGCTGTGCAATGCTTCAATGTTCAGTGTTGTGGGATGAATTTGTCCCCTCCAGCCTTCAACTGGCATCCTGGCAGGGGCACGGGGAGGAACAAGTGGATTCTCTATCCTGAGGTTGGTGCTGTGCGGTGCAGGGAGGTGATGTACGGTGCAGAAAATTACAGTGCATTAATGTGCGGTACTGTGGGTTGGATTGCGCAAACTCCCCTCTGGCCTTCAAATGGCATCCTGGCAGGGGCACGGGGAGGAAAAAGTGGATTCTCTATCTTGAGGTGGGTGCTGTGCGGTGCAGAGTGGTGATGTACGTGCAGTGCAGTAGATTACAATGCAGTGAGTTGCGGTACTGTGGGGTGGATTTCTCCTCTCCGGCCTTCAACTGGCATCCTGGCAGGGGCACAGGGAGGAACAAGTGGATTCTCTATCTTGAGGTGGGTGCTGTGCGGTGCAGGTTGGTGACGTGCGGTGCAGCAGATTGCTGTGCAATGCTTCAATGTTCAGTGTTGTGGGATGAATTTGTCCCCTCCAGCCTTCAACTGGCATCCTGGCAGGGGCACGGGGAGGAACAAGTGGATTCTCTATCCTGAGGTTGGTGCTGTGCGGTGCAGGGAGGTGATGTACGGTGCAGAAAATTACAGTGCATTAATGTGCGGTACTGTGGGTTGGATTGCGCAAACTCCCCTCTGGCCTTTAAATGGCATCCTGGCAGGGGCACGGGGAGGAAAAAGTGGATTCTCTATCTTGAGGTGGGTGCTGTGCAGTGCAGAGTGGTGATGTACGTGCAGTGCAGTAGATTACAATGCAGTGAGTTGCGGTACTGTGGGGTGGATTTCTCCTCTCCGGCCTTCAACTTGCATTCTGGCAGGGGCATGGGGAGGAACAAGTGGATTCTCTATCCTGAGGTCGGTGCGGCGCGCGGTGTAGTGTGGTTGTATGTGGTGCGGTAGATTACAGTGCGTTGCACCAGTTCTTTCCATTTGCCTTCAACTAGCATCCTGGGAGGAAAGGGCATGGGGAGGAAGAGCAAGTGGATCCGCGAGCAGTGAGGCGCGTTTTGAGGCGCCTCAAGAATCACCTCAGGGCATGGGGAGGAACAGCAAGTGGATCCGAGCTGGTTTTTGAGAATTCTCAAAAACCAGCTCGTATCTTGAGGTGGGCTGCCCACCATAACTGGACACCTCCCGCCCCGCCCTGCGTGCCACCTGCACTGCATGGACTCAGCACACTGCTACCTGGTCTTCTCCCTTGCACGGCACACACTGCTACCTGGTCTTCTCCCTTGCACGGCACACACTGCTACCTGGTCTTCTCCCTTGCACGGCACACACTGCTACCTAGTCTTCTCCCTTGCACGGCACACACTGCACCTCTATTATTCTCCCTCCCTGCATCCCACATGCGTCCCTGCAGCAGGCAGGCATGAGTGCATTGCCGAACCGAACTGGTTCGTTTCGAACCGTCCAGATCCCAGGCCGGTTCGAGGTTCGGTATTATAGTCATCAAACCGAACCGCGGCATGACCGGTTCGTAGCGAACCGGTTCGGTTCGAACCTTCTCGTCCCTCCTCACCCCTCGTCACCCCTCCTCGCCCCTCTTCGCCTTTGGATCAAAACAAATAGTCGAACCGGTCAAACTGTCGAACTAGTTCGATGACAAAACGGTTTGACCCGTTTCAAACCTAAACAAGATTACAAGGCTGAGGCTCGGCTCAAACCGAACCGAACCGAACCGCATTGAACCTAACTGCGGTTCGGTTCTTTTCTCATCCCTACCCTGCAGGGTGGGGCGTGGTGCATGGCCGCAGCTCACTTCATGGACCGCAGCTTCAGCCGAGGTAAAGCGCACATCTCCCTTTTGCTCCCTTGCTTGCACTCTTGCGTCCTTGCAGGGTGGGGCGTGGTGCATGGCTGCAGCTCCCTGCATCGACCGCAGCTTCAGTTGACTCACAACAAGGCACACCTCCCAGCCCTGCCCTGCCTGCCTTGCTTGCACATCCCCCCTGCAGGGCGGGGCGTGGTGCGAGGACGCCGTTCACTGCATCGATCGCAGCTTCTCCAACTTCGGTTCCTCCACCACACCTCCCACCCACCCCACCTGCCTGCAGGGCGGGGCGTGGTGCATGGATGCAGTTTTGAGACGTCTCAAACCCACCTCCCACCCCACATCCCTGCAGGGCGGGGCGTGGTGCATGGACACAGCGCACTGCATCGACCGCAGCTTCTCCAACTTCGGTTCCTCCTCCAAGATGGGCCATTGGATGCTGCAAGGGCTGCTCTCTTCCAGCCGTAAAACCAACCCCGGTGAGCATGACAACCACCCCTGGTCATGGTAAGTGCACAACTTCGGTTCTTGCACCAAGATGGGCCACTGGCTGCTGCAAGGGCTGCTCTCCTCCAGCCGTACAACAAACCCTGGTGAGTGCTGGGACTTTTCCCCCCTTGCTTGTGCCCCCCCCTTGTCAAAACTAGAGCTTAGAATTGATACATTAGTAACGGGCTTGAAGCTCTTTAAGTACATCCAGGATGGGCAAGGAAAGGATGGGAAGGGAATCAGGGGAAATCTCTAGGGATTGGGGGTTATCCCAAGGCAATCGCCAACTGGTGGGTAGGAGATTGTTTGGAGATCACATTTGGGTTTGGTTGGGATGTTGGTGTACACCCAACCAAACACTACGCTAGGATATAGAAAGTACAAAATACAAAGTGGGAGATTGATGTCTAACACTAACACCCCTCGCTCTAGTGACTTCTGCCCCTCCTTTTTAGTGCCGCCTCGCCCCTCCTCTCCTCCACCAAGGTGGGCCACTGGATGCTGCAAGGGCTGCTCTCTTTAGTGCCCCCTCGCCCCTCCCACTGCGTGCCCCAGCCTCTCTCTAGTGGCTTCTGCCTCTCCCCTCTAGTTGCCTCTGCCCCCTCGCCCCTCCTCTCCTCCACCAAGATGGGCCACTGGATGCTGCAAGGGCTGCTCTCTTTAGTGCCCCCTCGCCCCTCCCACTGCGTGCCCCAGCCTCTCTCTAGTGGCTTCTGCCTCTCCCCTCTAGTTGCCTCTGCCCCCTCGCCCCTCCTCTCCTCCACCAAGATGGGCCACTGGATGCTGCAAGGGCTGCTCTCTTTAGTGCCCCCTCGCCCCTCCCACTGCGTGCCCCAGCCTCTCTCTAGTGGCTTCTGCCTCTCCCCTCTAGTTGCCTCTGGCCCCTCGCCCCTCCTCTCCTCCACCAAGATGGGCCACTGGATGCTGCAAGGGCTGCTCTCCTCCAGCCGTAAAACAAACCCCGGTGAGTCCCTCTATTCCCCCTCTCCCCCACCACCTTCCCTCCCACCTTCCCTCCCACCCTCCCCCCTACCTTCTCTCCCACCTACCCCCACTCTCTTTCTTCATCCCCCCACCCTCATTGCGATCCCACTCTTTGCGCCTCTTCCCTCTCCCTCCCACCTCCCCCCACTCCAGACTTCTTCAACTGGAACGCAATGGACCTTACTCCATACCCACACCCTCACTGAAACCCCCCTGCTTCCACCTCTCTTTCCTTCCCTTCCACCTCCTCCTTCCTCCCCCCCTTCTCCCCCTCCCCTCCCCTACCAGACTTGTTCAACTGGAACCTGGTATGTATCCATCCGCTACTGTGATAGAACTTCCTTCATCCCCCCACCCTCATCAAGAGTCCTCTGCTTCCATCCTTCTGTCTGCCCACTCTCTGTGCTCCCTCTCCCCTCCTCTCCCCTCCCCTCCCCTCCCCTCCCCTCCCCTCCCCTCCCCTCCCCTCCCCTCCCCTCCCCTCCCCTCCCCTCCCCTCCCCTCCCCGCCCCTCCGAGACTTGTTCAACTGGAACCTAATTTGTATCCGATCCGTTACTGCCATAGACCTTCCCTCCCCAACCCCTGTTCCCTCCTCTTTGTTTCCCCCACCCCACCCCCCCCTCCCTCTCCAGACTTGTTCAACTGAAACAGGGTCTATATCCGCCGCTACTGCGATGGGGCTTCCTTTGTCCCCCACCCTCATTAAAATGCCTCTGCTCCCATCTCTCTGCCCCCCTCTCCCTCCCCACCTCCCTTTCCCTCCTCTCCAGACTTGTTCAACTGAAGCATGGTCTATATCCACCGCTACTGCGATGATGCTTCCCTTCCCAACCTCTGCTGCCTCCTCTTTGCTTAACCCTAAACCCCTCCCCTCCCCTTACCTCCCTTCCCAGACTTGTTCAACTGGAAAATGGTCTATATGCGCTACTGTGATGGAGCTTCATCCTTCTTGCCTCCACCCTTGATACAATCTGCTTCCACCTCTGCCCCCCCTATTTTACCTGCATTTCCCCCCTCCTCCTCCCAGGCTTCTTCAACTGGAACATGGTTTATATCCGCTACTGCGATGGGGCTTCCTTTATTGGCAATGTTGACGAGCCAATCAGAGACCATGTGAGTGCATGGGGAGAAGGAGCACAGGGAATGGTGGAGCTTCTTTATCGGCAATGTTGACGAGCCGCTCCGAGACCATGTGAGTGGATGGCTGGTGTGAAGGAGCATAGTAAGTAGCTTGGCTGCTGGGTTGGTGTGGTGTGAAGGGGCAGAGTGAATGTCAAACGTAGGACTGATGGGGCTTCCTTCATTTCATGGGCAAAGTTGACGAGCCGCTCCGAGACCATGTGAGCCGTTGGTGTGACGGAGCAGAGTGAATGGTGTGAATGTGAAGCGGCAGAGTGAATGGTGTGAATGTGAAAGGGCAGAGTGAATGGTGTGAATGTCAAGCGTATGATCGACTGATTGAGCTTCCTTCATTTCATTGGCAAAGTTGACGAGCCGCTCCGAGACCATGTGAGTGGATGGATTGTTCTGTATGCCATTAGTTAAAAGGCGCTTCAATCAAATTTTTGAGCGAGTGACAGGGCAAACGTCGGCAAGTTACTTAACTCTAAGGTAGTGCACACATAGTCCTTTCTGACTTGAAAGGAACTTGACTAACGCCGTCCGGGCTATTAAAGTTAGTCCTCGCTTGGCTCTTTTGAGTCCTCTAAAAACTCTAAGGTGATGCAAATGGTCCTTCCCGCCTAATGCCGTCCGGGCCGACGTGTCTTCATCGCCATTATCTCCCACCTGTTAGCCCACCATGGCATGCAGTCACCCTCTCATGTTCACTGTTCATCTCTAGTACCGCATTCCCCCTATCCCCCCCTGTCCCTTCACCCACGCAGGAAGGCAAGCCTCAGATCTACATGCGGGGTCGTCGTGTCTTCAATGCCATTCTCTCCCACCTGCTAGCCCACCACAGCATGCGCTCAGCCTCCCACATCCTCCTCTCCGGCTGCTCTGCTGGTGGCCTAGCAGCCCTCCTCCTGTGCGACAGCCTGGCTGACCGCATGAGGAGCTTGAGGGAGAATGAAGAGCTTGAGGGAGTGGGGAGAGGAGGGGAAAAGGGAGGAGTGGTGGTGAAGTGCATGTCGGATGGCGGGTACTTCCTGGATGCGAGGGATATTGGCGGCAGGCACTTCCTGAGGGAAACCATGTTTCATCGGGTTGCTGCGTTTCATGTGAGTCGGCTGGCTGTGTTATGTCTGAGTTCCCTGCGTTGGATGCGAGGGATATTGGCAGCAGGCTCTTCCTGAGGGAGACCATGTTCAATCGGGTTGCCACGTTCCATGCGAGTTCAGTGTGGTTCGTGTGTGAGGTCGGTTGCTGTGTCACACACACGTGAGGGAGGGGTGGTGGTGAAGTGCATGTTGGATGGGGGTTACTTTCTGGATGCGAGGGATATTGGCGGCAGGCTCTTCCTGAGGGAGACCATGTTTCGCCTGGTTACCGCGTTTCACGTGAGTTTGGTGTGTTGTATTTGAGTTCCTTCCTTGCGTTGGATGCGAGGGATATTGGCGGCTGGCTCTTCTTGAGGGAGACCATGTTTAATCAGGTTGCCGCGCTCCACGTAAGCTCGTCTGGTTACATGCCGTGTTACATTACATGCATCCTCTGGTTATGGGTGTTACTTCCTGGATGTAAGGGATATTGGTGTCAGAACTTGAGCTTAAAATCCATGCATTAGTAATGAGCTGAAAGCTCCTTAAGTACATTGGAAATGGGCAAGGTAAGGGTGGGGAGAGAGTCGGGAGCAATCCTAGGAAATTGGGGGTAATCCCAAGGCAATCTCCAATAGGTGGGTTGGAGATTGCTTGGAGATCACATTTGGGTTTAGTTGGGATGTGGGTGTACACCCAACCAAACATAAAGTGCAAACTACACTAAACTAGGATATAAAAAGTACAAGTACAAATGTGAGATTGAGGGCTAACATTAACACCCCGCCACAGGCGTCAATCGAACTCATGGCAGAGAAGGAGGAGCGCAGAGCCCCATGGTGCCTAGAAGGCGATGATGAGGAACCTTCTCAAGGGGCTTGGTGAAGAGATCATAGAAGTTGCAATCAAAAGCTACGTACTCCACATTGAGCTGCTCCCACTGGACAAGGTCACGGATGAAGAAGTGCCGAAGTTCGATGCACTTGGTGCGAGTGTGGTACACGGGATCCTGGGACAGGTGGATGGTGCTCTTGTTGTCACACCAGAGCGTGGGAGTGGGCTGAGGGTTGCCAAGCTTCTGGAGTAGGAAGGTGAGCTAGCGGGCCTCCTGAGCCGCCATGGTGCCAGCGTAGAGCTCGGCCTCACAGGAGGAGAGGGAGACTACAGACGACCGGGTGGAGCGCCAGCTGACAATTCGGCTCCCAAGGGTGAAACAGTAGCCTTGGGAGGAGCGTCGGTTGGTCTGGTCATCAGCCCAGGAGGAGGCAGTGTACCCTTCCAGTCGAGGAGGAGAAAGCCCACCAAGGGTGAGGACATGAGACTTGGTGCCCTGCAGATCTAAGTGGAGAAAGACGCACGCGTCCTGCTGCGTCCTGCGTCTGGACGCAGCGTCCAGACGCAGAGACGCAGGACGCACCTCGTTTTTTTTTTCGGGCTGACCGGAAAAAAAAATTGCCTCAGCGCGAAATTGACTTCAACGATTTCGACGCGACTGTCAATTTCGCGTCATGTCGACCCCCCCTAACCCATTTCGACCATCAAAAACACCCTAGAGGGTTTACCAAGACAATTCTCCTTCGTAAACCCGAAACCCTGGAAATGTAAAGGGGACGATTTTGCCTCAAATGTGTGCATCGTCGTTCCCCCCCCCCCCTTCCCATACCCTATAACATCATTTTTCGGCTGCCCGGGGTTTTTTTTTGCCCTGCCCGGGCATGCGTCTTTTCATGCGTCCTAAAGGCTCTCCTCTAGCGTCCTGCGTCTAAGACGCTGCGTGTGGACGCAAGCGTCCTAGACGCAGGACGCGTCTTTCTCCACTTAGCTGCAGATAGCGCATCACCCGCTTTGCCGCTTTCCAGTGAAGGTCGGTGAAGCGCCCAGGAACCACATACCAAGAGAGGACACTGTTAGGGTATGCCAGGTCAGGTCGGGTACACATCATGGCGTACATGAGGGACCCAAAAAGTTCTGGGTATGGCTCAGTGCATGCCTCTGGTGTGGGTACAGCTGGAGCGGCGAGGAGGTGTTGCAGCGGCAGAGGGGTGGCCGTAGGTGTGCACAGCTCCATCTCAAAGCGCTTGAGTACATTGTTGATGTAGAACTCCTTGGAGAGTGGAATGGTGCGAGCATGGCGATCGCGAGTAATCTCCATCCCCAAGTAGTGTTTGAGGTCACCGAGGTCTTTCATCAGGCGAGTCTTGCTCAGGGCCGCTTGGAGGTGGAGTTTCATCGTCAAAGGAGTGGTTGCGAGTGAAGGTTTTGAAGAAGTGAAAGTACTGTTGCTGGGTGAATCCCTTAGCCACATAGCGTGCTTTGAACACGGGTGCCTCGTCCGGAAGCTGCTTCACTCAAACAGCCACTTGCCCCCGACGATGTTAACTCCTGGAGGTGGAGTTTCATCGTCAAAGGAGTGGTTGCGAGTGAAGGCTTCACAATCAGCTTCCATGGCAGCACGCCACTCGGCAGCATGTGGACCTGAGAGAGCTTCTTGGAGGGTGAATCAGTGATATCGGGGAAGATGTGCGAGAGCTGGGGAATGACAGAGTGAAGATCACACAGCTCCTCATGCCTGTCTTCCAAAAGGGTAGAAGGCACATCCCCCCCCGCAGGAGGAGTCGGAGTGATCACTGAGCATCGAATGGCGAGTGCCAGCGGAGGAGCAACCCCATGCGACCGAGTGCCATGAGCCACCGGAGAGGAGGGTGGAGCGGGCGGCACTAGAGGGGTCGGTTTAGGGGGTTTGGGCGGAGGGATCAGTCGACGCTGGTAGGTGATCAATTCGGGCGGTTGTGGGAGAGTGGGTTCCTGAGTGGAAGGGGGAACGGAGGGAGGAGGTGGAACCGGGGGTTTCGACCGCCGATGGTATGTGATTGGTGCACTTGGTAGTGGGAGCGCAGATGGTGGAGTGGGAGAGGGGAGAGATGAGGGAGCAGCTGCCGTGGACACCGGTGAGGACGGGTCAGAGACCTCAGAGTGGAATGGTGCGATGGCAGGAGAGGTAGGGGGTGAGGGAGCTAGTGCAGGTGGAAGTTCAGGAGGTGCATCAAAGTCAGCCCACACAAGAGAGGGTGGTCCGGAGGAAGGATCCCCCTTCGAGGAGGAGTAGAAGGGGCGAGTCTCGTGAAAGACGACGTCACGGCTCCGGATTAATTGTTGAGTAGAGGGGTTGAGGAAGAGGTAGTTAGGGGAGTCGGCGTTATGCCCAAGATATATGCATGTTTGAGTTTTGGGGCCGAGCTTGCCACCTTGCTGCCGCCGAGCCTGAGGGTTGAGGAGGACATAGGCGGTGCACCCCCATACCCGAAGGGGGCAAGCAGTGGGTGTTTTCCCGAGCCAAAGTGTGGTGGGAGTGGTGTCGGGAAGATGCGGGTGAAGGTAGAGGTTGTAGAGGAAGGCGGCATGGTAGAGGGCGTACCCCCAGAGTGACAGTGGTGCGTTGGAGTGGCTGAGGAGGCAGCGGGTGATCTGTGCCAACGTGTGATTGCGACTCTCTACGATGCCGTTCTGCTGCGGGCTGTCAGGAAGGGTGAAGTTTTGTAGAATGCCTTCTGAGGAGCAAAAGGCCTTGAGCTTATCGTTGCAGAATTCACCACCACCATCTGAATGGAGGGGCTTGACCTTGCGGCCAAAGGTGGTCTGTGCCAGATTGACCCACGCCATGATGACCCCTGGAGCCTCAGCCTTAGTGTGCAGGAGGTGCATAGAGACGTAGCGGGAGTGGTCATCAACTAAAGCAAAGAAATAACGATAACCACCTCGTGCGGCAACAGGGGCAGGGCCCCAGACGTCCATGTGCACTAGGTCCAGTGGGGCTGCTGCGACTGAGGGTGAGGCAAGGTGGGGCTGTTGGCGTAGCTTGCTCTTGGTGTTGTCAATGCATGTGGGAGCGGGAGAGTCAGGTGGTGGAGGGAGTGAGGCTGGTAGGCCGAGAAGAAGTTTCTTGGAGGCCATGTCAGCGAGCGTGCGGAAGTTTGGGTGCCCGAGCCGATGGTGGTAGAGGATGGTCGGGTTGGAGAAGCTGCGACATGAGCATGGTGTGATAGCAGCCTGTGCTTGGGTGGTTGACACTTGTGGGATAGGTACTCGCAGTGTGTAAAGGCTGCTGCTATTAGGGGTGAAGCGAGCCAAGACCTTGTTGTTGAGTGGGTCGATGATGTCACAATAGTCCTTGTTCTCCGAGGAGATGGTGTGTAACCTCGCCTCCTGAATTTCTGTTTGAGCCACTTGATTGTGGCATAGTGAAGGCACGCACCTGCCAGTGACAGTGCCGGATGGGAAGGCGGGGCATGGGACAGTGGACGAACCCTTGGCAAAGGTGATGAAGCTTGAATCAACTCGCAAGAGAGGAATAGGTGTTGAATAGGGTTTGAAGGAGAGTGTCTCTTTGAGCACTGTGTGGGTGGCCTCGCTGTCGAGTGTAAACTCTATGTATTGTGGTGCCTGCGGTGGGCCGATATGCTGCAAGGTTACTTCATTGATCATGGCGGTACCAGGGATTAACAAGTTGATAGTTGCCGAGGCGAAGGCCATGGTGAAGAACCTCTTTCTCGCGCGAAATGTCTCTCTTGAATCACCGATAAGAACTTCGGGTTTAGGGTTTACGAAGGAGAATTGCAAAGTAGGGTTTATGAAGGAGAATTTTGAGGAGAGGTTTAGCATTTTCGAAATCCGAAGGTCCCGAAGAGCAAAGAACGTCAATGTTGGCCGCTTCAAGATGTCTCATAGGAGGTTTAAGGCCGGCGAAAATAGGTTGAAACGGCCGATTTTGGTAGTGTCGACTAACTACTAACCCTGTTCCCACACACCCCCCCACACACCACCCTCAGCTTCGCGGCTACACTGCTGCTCAGCTTCACTGCTACACGGCTGCTCAGCTGCGCAGCTTCACCTGTTCAGTTGCGGGGTGATGGAAGTGCTGTTGCGGGGCGATGGGCGGCAGCTCGAAGGTGACGCTGTAGGGCGACGGGCGGTAGCCCGAAGAGAAGATGCAGGGCGATGGGCGGCAGCTCGAAGGGAAGCTGCAGGGCGACGAGCAGCAGCCCCACGATTGACGAGATGGGAAAAATTGGGTTACGCCGAAGCGGGAAGGACGGCGGGACAAATCCGCGGTGATGAGGGAGAGCGACGAGGAAATGGTGGCTACGGTTACCTTAAGTGAGACGCATAAATTGGTTCCTCGTAACTCAAGGAAAGGTAGTGTGGGAGAGAATCTACCCACGAAAGATGTCGCGAATCAACGGCGACGATGACGGCGCGGGAAAAATTCCGGCCGTGAAGATTAGGTTGATGAGGGTACTTTACTCGAGCGATGAATGTTGAAGGCGGCTTCGCCTAAGGGTGTGGGAGAGGATTCCGCAAAGGTAAAAGGATCAAGATCCGCATGTGCGGTTGAAGAGCTCTGATACCATGTCAGAACTTGAGCTTAGAATCCATGCATTAGTAATGAGCTCAAGGCTCCTCAAGTACATTGGAAATGGGCAAGGTAAGGGTGGGGAGAGAATCGGGGGCAATCCTAGGGGATTAAGGGTAATCCCAAGGCAATCTCCAATTGGTGGGTTGGAGATTGCTCGGAGATCATATTTGGGTTTGGTTAAGTGCAAACTACACTAAACTAGGATATAAAAAGTACAAGTACAATTGTGAGATTGAGGGCTAACATTAACAATTGGCGGCCGGCACTTTTTGAGGGACACCATGTTCCGCCTGGTTACCGCATTCCACATGAGTTCGCTGTGTTACATGTCAGTTGTGTTACATTACATGTGAGTTTGCTGTACTACATGTGAGCTCGCTGTGTTCCATGTGAGTTCCCTGTGTTACATTTCCTTCTCTGCCTTCTCTGCTCCCTCCTCTCCCCCCTCTTCTTATTCCTTTGCTCCCATCCCTTCCTTCCACCTCTCCCTCCCTTCTTACCCCTTTCCTCCTCTTCTTCTGCCATCCTCCCCTCTCCACCCTCCTCTCCTGACAGGCTGTCATCTCAACCCCCACTGCCTTACCCTTTCGCCCATCCACTAACAGTTCCTCTTAGTGCTTCTTTCCAGAGAACTTTCTCCCCTTCCTCTCCCTCCCCTCCCTTTCCCTTCCTCCCTTGCCTTCTCCTGACAGAATCTCATCTCAACCCCCACAGCCTCACCCTATCGCCCATCCACTGATATCTCCTCCCAGTGCTTCTTTCCACCGCACTTCCTCCCCTTCCTCTTCTTTCTCCCCTTCCTCGTCTTCCCATCTCTTGCCCTCCCGATAGAACGTCACGCTGAACCCCACTGCTTTGCTTCGCCCATCCACTGACAGCTCCTCCTACTGCTTCTTCCCTTTCCCGTCCCCTCCTGACAGAATGTCATCTCAACCCCCACTTCCAGCTCCTCCTAGTGCTTCCTCCCCCTCCTCTCTTTCCCTTCCCTTTCCCGTCTCCTTCCTCCCCCTCCTCTCTTTCCCTTCCCATTCCCGTCCCCTCTTGTCTTCTCCTGACAGAATGTCATCTCAACCCCCACTGACAGCTCCTCCTCCTGCTTCTTCCCTTCTCAGCGCACTTCCTCCCCTTCCCTCATTTAGTTTCCCTCCCTTGCTCTCCTCACTTGCTCCCCTCCCCCCTCTGCCTCCTCTCCCCCAACAGAATGCCACACTGAATCCCCACTGCCTCACCCTTTCGCCCACCCACGGACACCTCCCAGTGCTTTTTTCTCAGCGCACTTTCTCCTCTTCCTCTCCTTCTCCCCCCTTTCCCTTCCCCCCTTCCCTTCTCTCTACAGAACGTAACTCTCAACCCCCACTGCATCGCCTCCCAGCCACCCGTGAACACCTCACAGTGCTTCTTCCCACAGAATTTCCTCCCCTTCCTCCACACGCCCTTCTTCATTCTCAACTCGCTCTACGACTCCTGGCAGGTAAGGCTTGCTCTTTTCTCTTGCATTTCTATTGCAAACCACCCTTGAATTCCTGCCCCACACCACACCCTCCCCTTCCTCCACACGCCCTTCTTCATTCTTAACTCGCTCTACGACTCCTGGCAGGTAAGGCTTGCTCTTTTCTCTTGCATTTCTATTGCAAACCACCCTTGAATTCCTGCCCCACACCACACCCTCCCCTTCCTCCACACGCCCTTCTTCATTCTCAACTCGCTCTACGACTCCTGGCAAGTAAGGCTTGCTCTTTTCTCTTGCATTTCTATTGCAAACCACCCTTGAATTCCTGCCCCACACCGCACCCTCCCCTTCCTCCACACGCCCTTCTTCATTCTCAACTCGCTCTACGACTCCTGGCAGGTAAGGCTTGCTCTTTTCTCTTGCATTTCTATTGCAAACCACCCTTGAATTCCTGCCCCACACCACACCCTCCCCTTCCTCCACACGCCCTTCTTCATTCTCAACTCGCTCTACGACTCCTGGCAGGTAAGGCTTCCTCTTTTCTCTTGCATTTCTATAGCAAACCACCCTTGAATTCCTGCCCCACACCACACCCTCCCCTTCCTCCACACGCCCTTCTTCATTCTCAACTCGCTCTACAACTCCTGGCAGGTAAGGCTTGCTCTTTTCTCTTGCATTTCTATTGCAAACCACCCTTGAATTCCTGCCCCACACCGCACCCTCCCCTTCCTCCACACGCCCTTCTTCATTCTCAACTCGCTCTACGACTCCTGGCAGGTAAGGCTTGCTCTTGTCTCTTGCATTTCTATTGCAAACCACCCTTGAATTCCTGCCCCACACCACACCCTCCCCTTCCTCCACACGCCCTTCTTCATTCTCAACTCGCTCTACGACTCCTGGCAAGTAAGGCTTGCTCTTTTCTCTTGCATTTCTATTGCAAACCACCCTTGAATTCCTGCCCCACACCGCACCCTCCCCTTCCTCCACACGCCCTTCTTCATTCTCAACTCGCTCTACGACTCCTGGCAGGTAAGGCTTGCTCTTTTCTCTTGCATTTCTATTGCAAACCACCCTTGAATTCCTGCCCCACACCACACCCTCCCCTTCCTCCACACGCCCTTCTTCATTCTCAACTCGCTCTACGACTCCTGGCAGGTAGGGCTTGCTCTTTTCTCTTGCATTTCTATTGCAAACCACCCTTGAATTCCTGCCCCACACCACACCCTCCCCTTCCTCCACACGCCCTTCTTCATTCTCAACTCGCTCTACGACTCCTGGCAGGTAAGGCTTGCTCTTTTCTCTTGCATTTCTATTGCAAACCACCCTTGAATTCCTGCCCCACACCGCACCCTCCCCTTCCTCCACACGCCCTTCTTCATTCTCAACTCGCTCTACGACTCCTGGCAAGTAAGGCTTGCTCTTTTCTCTTGCATTTCTATTGCAAACCACCCTTGAATTCCTGCCCCACACCACACCCTCCCCTTCCTCCACACGCCCTTCTTCATTCTCAACTCGCTCTACGACTCCTGGCAGGTAAGGCTTGCTCTTTTCTCTTGCATTTCTATTGCAAACCACCCTTGAATTCCTGCCCCACACCACACCCTCCCCTTCCTCCACACGCCCTTCTTCATTCTCAACTCGCTCTACGACTCCTGGCAGGTAAGGCTTGCTCTTTTCTCTTGCATTTCTATTGCAAATTTGAGCTTTCTAGTTCGACTCAAAAACCACTTTCTTTAACCTCAACTCGCACCCTCGCCCACTCCTTTGCATCTTTCATAGACTTCCCAGAAAGCGCATGGCGTGCGTGCCGTGCCGCGTGTCTGCAAGCTCTCTCAACCTCACCTTTTTCCTCTTGCACTGTGCTGCCCAACGCCCCCTCCACTCCACACCATCCGCAGATCGCCCACTCCTTTGCGTCCTTCACAGTCTTCCCAGAAAAGGCGTGGCACTCGTGCCGCATGTCGCTGCAGGGGTGCAATCAGGAGCGGCTCGATCTTATTCATGGTACGAAAGCATGATCGATGTGCTAATAATGTCATAGATCCATGTGTAAGTAACAGGGAAGAACAACTGTACTGCTGGCTGGTTGTTAGGGTTAGCCCTTGCTCTTCTTGTCTCTCGCATGTCTCCATCTCATCACGTATTTCATCTGTTCCTCTCTCGCCCTCGCCTTCCGTTGTCTCCCACTTATTTTCCTCCCCTTATTTTTCTCATCTTGTTTTTCTCCTCTTATTTTCCTCCCCTTATTTTTCTCATCTTGTTTTTCTCCTCTTATTTTCCTCCCCTTATTTTTCTCATCTTGTTTTTCTCCTCTTATTTTCCTCCCCTTATTTTTCTCATCTTGTTTTTCTCCTCTTATTTTCCTCCCCTTATTTTTCTCATCTTGTTTTTCTCCTCTTATTTTCCTCCCCTTATTTTTCTCATCTTGTTTTTCTCCTCTTATTTTCCTCCCCTTATTTTTCTCATCTTGTTTTTCTCCTTTTATTTTCCTCCCCTTATTTTTCTCATCTTGTTTTTCTCCTCTTATTTCCTCCCCTTATTTTTCTCATCTTGTTTTTCTCCTCTTATTTTCCTCCTCCTAGTCTCCTCTATCTCACACATGGCAACCCCACCCTCCTGCCCTTCGATCCTCTTGTCTCCCACTTCCCCCCATCTCACTCAGTCAAGGCTGCTCTTTCCCTTTTACCCCCTTCTCCTTCTTCTCCCACATTCCCCCGTCTCGTTCAAGGCAACCCCACTCTCGCCCTCACCTCCTCTCTCTCCCACGTTCATGTTTTGATTCTCCCACTCTCGCCCTCACCTCCTCTCTCTCCCACGTTCATGTTTTGATTCTCCCACTCTCACCCTCACCTCCTCTCTCTCCCACGTTCATGTTTTGATTCTCCCACTCTCGCCCTCACCTCCTCTCTCTCGCACGTTCATGTTTTGATTCTCCCCCTCTCGCCTCACCTCCTGCTGTCGCCCACGTTTTGGTCTCGCCCCCCCCTTCCCTGCGTTAACAGCCTATCGGGATGAGACGGTGGGCAAGGTGACGCCCCTCCTCTCCTCTCCTTCCCCATCCCAAGTTCTGCCTCTCACCTTCTCTCCTTCTCTCCTTATCTCCTTGCCGCCCTCCCCCCCCCCCCCCCCCTTTCCCTGCCCCAACAGCCTATCGGGATGAGATGGTGGAAAAGGTGTCGCCCCTCCTCTTGTCCAATCGCAGCGCGCCACCTGTCCGGCGCCTGTTGGCTGCAGCATCAAGCGAAAGTTCAGCAAACGGAGCGTACCTCGTGTCCTGCCGAGCACACTGCATGGTGAGTAGGTGCAAAGATCTGATGTGATTGCATGGCAAAGAAATGCAAAATGTTTGATGGATAACAGCTGAGATTTGTTGACGTTGTGTGTGGGACCTTCGTCATTCCATATTCCCTAGAGTCTGATTTATGCCAGAACCCATAACAACCAATGTGGCATGCATGGCATGGCAGCATCACTCCATATTCCCAAGAGTTTATTCCATTGTATGGCATGTGAGATGGCTGTAGGGGACATCGTCCCATGTGACGTGGTGACTTTGAGTCGACTCAAAAGCATCACTCCTCCCACATTCCATACTATGGCATGTCATATGGCCCCATGCGGCATCGTCCCATGTGACATGGCCCCATCCCATGCGGCATCGTCCCATGTGACATGGCCCCATAGGGGCATGGTAGCATGGCATGTCAGCAGTGCTGATCTCCCTCATCTTTCCACACTTTCCATACTCCATGTCTATCCCATGTTTCTTGTCTCCCATTCACGCATGAGATCCATCCATCTCCAGTGTCCATCACACAGGTCATTTTTTAGGCGCCTCAAAAATCCATTCACCACACGCTTGTGACCCATCCATCTCATGTGTCCATCACACAGGCCATGGGCCCCATGTCACCCCTCCTCTATCCCATCCCATCCTGATTTATGGGTCGACTCAATAATAATTCCCTTACCTGTAATCTGTTACACAGGCGATGCGTCCAGTCTATTCTTTAGAAGGACGATGTAATCTATTCTTGTGTTTACATGGCACATGTGTCTATGCTGTCTCCAGGCCTTCAACCCCACTCTCATATATATATAAAAATATATATATAAGGCGTTTTCCATGCGCTTATCTTCTCACATCGTCCTTCTCCTGCTGTGATCCCTGTACAGGCCATGAGTCCCATGTTGCTCCTCCCCGCATTCTTCCAATTTCTCATGTGTTCCTTATTAGAATTTTCATCCTTTTGCAATCCGTGTTACAGGCAATGGGTCCCATGTGGCATGGCAGCACTGCCCCACGAATACACAACAAGGTACGCTCTTGTCAATACTTCTCCCGTAAGTTTACCGTAGATTTCTTTATTTGTTCCATAGCTCGCATGCATTATTCGTGTATTTCCAATTATTTTCCCCTCTGCACCCTTTCTTATCCCCCCACAGACGATGGCAGAGGCAGTGGGAGACTGGTTCTTTGACAGGCAGAGTGTAGCCCTTGTCGATTGTAAACACCCCTGTAATCCCACATGCGCATGATTATAGTTGATTTTCTTTTGCATGCCACTTTGTGTTGCATGTAGCATTTATAGTTATGTATATTGATATTTTGTAAGCCACAGAAATAGTTTTTCCGTACCCATCATCACCCCAAAAAGGTGTCGTCTCGCCAGACCCAACTGTAGCATTTCCCCCGCCCAATATGGCAGCATGTGCGTGTTCTTCCACTGCTCGGTTACCGCTGCCCGATTGACTATCTTATAAATTGGTTTACCGTCTGTCACATGTGCAATGAATTGAGGTAGCGAGGATTGCACTAAAGTGTCAAACGAGTACAAAGTATGGGCGAAGGCATGAGCGGATACTTAAGGCGTATTCCTATCCTCCTTTCAACTGAACCTCTTATCAAGCTCACACTGAAAAATCCCCTAAACCCAAAATCTCTCGCTACTTTTACCAGGCAAAAGTACAATCTTGATAGGAGGTGGCCTTGATATAGGAGGCCGTAGGAATACGCCCTTATACGCGAAAACATGCAAACGGTAACGCGTTGCGTGCGAGCTAGCTACCAGGCCCCACGTTATCAGGGCAAAACATCCTGATTACCCTGAATTCAGGATGCAGTTTTGAATTTACCCTGTCATTTCAGAATAGTGTAATTTTTTACCCAGAGGTCTCAGGATGTTGTTATATGAAATGCCCTGAACATTCAGAATGGCTGTAGTGTTCTTCCTTGTAGCGTCAGGATGAATGCAGAGGCCTGCCCTGACGCGTTTTTTGTTAGGGGGGGGGGGGGAGTCCCGTACCTGGGGAAATTTTCGTCGGGGATTTTTGTCTTCGTAGGCAACACGTGCTTTAAACACTCATTCATCCACCCAACCATCCAGAAGTGGCCTAGTCAGTAGAAAGGTACTTTCGATAGATGTGGTCCTGGGATCTAACCCACCCCCGTGCAGGCGTATACATTTTTCACCTTAAACTCTGTCAACCAACCAATCTAAACCCTGAACACAGGGTTTTTTATTCTGACAGGTCAGGATTGATTTCTGAAAAAGCCCTGAACATACAGGAAGGCTTCGAAAATTTGCCCTGACAAATCAGGGCATTTTTTACGATTCTGGAAAGGTGCCCTGAGGCCTCAGGGTGCCCCAAATCCTAGCACGGGCCCTGCTAGCTACCGTCATCGCCCGTATATAAGACATATGTGTCTTATCTCATACACTAAAAAAAATGCTTGGGTTATCTTGTATTTGGGGAGGTTTTGGGTGTCTTATAAGTCTTATAAATGGAAACTTTTTTAAATTACTTAGAAATATTTTCCCACATCTTGAAAAGAGTTTCTCATTATGAGTGTGGATGTTGTGAAGGTGCCACTTCGGCAACCCTTGTTCGGGGCGCCACGTCATGGAGAATACTTGCAAAGGCAAATTTGGTTGTACCGTATAACCCCGGATAAAAGCGCAGGTGCGCTTATAATAAAACAGTGTTTTTAGGGGGGTGCGCTTCTAATTGAGTCATTTGTATAAGCGCATGCGCTTATATTATGACATTTACAAAATTGTAATTTTAAGACACCAAATTGTATATTTCACTCTTGCCATTTCAACCGAGTCGATTTTTTTCCCGTCACAAAGCAGAATCGTGTCCAAGCAATTCCCTTCCAGCACACAGGGGCCAAGATGCGACACTTTGCAGTCATGCTAGCACATCCTGACTGGACGCGCAGCCAGTCAGGTCTTCGAGAGTCAAACTAAGCGAAAATGAGATCGCACTCGCTTCAAAATTGAAACTCGCTAACGTTTTGAACAGAATTTTTGATTTAAAATTGTACATGCGCTTATAATAAGTAATGTTTTCACAGGGGGTGCGCTTATAATTGAGGATCGGCCATAAGCGCATTGCTCCGGATAGAAGCGCATGCGCTTATCATAGGCCTGCGCTTCTATCTGGGATGATACGGTACGTGAGTCAGCACGTGGCAGAATTCGCGTGTCGCAAGGGTAAAAATGTACGCGGTACTTCAATTATCATTATAATATATTGCAGTTTCGATTATAAGACACATATGTCTTATCTCGTACACACAAATGGGTGTCTTATAATGAGGCTAGCCTGTTTATAAGAGACACCCGTATAATAGACAACCCCTGTCTACTATTCAACACTGTCTTATATCCGGGTGATGACGGTAGTGCTACGCTGGCGTGAAGTTCGGGCTAGTCCCGAAGCGTAGGCCGACTCGGGTTGGCCAGCAGTGCGAGGTTTGGTGAAACATTGCGCGCGAAGTTAGCGAAGCCCTGTTAGCAGTAACGGGCGAACAACGGTTGCTGCTGTACGCGATGTTGACAATCGCGATAAGGAATGTCGAAAAAATTCCTTATGCTACCCCCCCCCCCCCCCCCCCCCCCCCCCCCCCCCCAAGAAGCCCCCTCCGCTACGCGTGTGCGTGTATATCGCGGAAACCCTGGCTCCAGGGCTTTTTTTTTTTATTTTCACTACTCGGATTTCCAGAGCTGTTTGTCAGAACGTTATAGCTTATACTTTTGTGTAGGCTGTAGTGGGGTATCCCATAGGGGGTACAACCCAATTAGGGTTAGTACTTGTACCCACTTCATTCACAGTTCATCCACTCTTGTTTCTTCTCATGGTATCGAGCAGGTTCCCTAGTGGGAACTGATCCTAGGGCCCACCATCGAAAATTTTTTTTTCTGCCCGAAGCGCGCTCCGCTTAGGCCCGAGTCGCGCCTCGGGTCCTCTCTCTACCGTCGCGGCCTCCCTCGAGCCGCCCTTGCTCGGCCGTCGCCGCCCTTCGCGGCCCGTCGCCACCCTACGCGGCCCGCCCGCCGCCCTTTTGACGCCCGCCCCGGCCACGTGAGCCGCCCGTCCCGTGCGACGCGGCCCCTGCGCCGCCTGTCCCGGCCCGTCGCCACCTGACGCGGCCCGACGCGGCCCGTGCGCCGCCTGTCCCGGCCCGTCGCCGCTCGTCGCGGCCCGTCGCCGCCCGGCCCGTCGCCGCCCGTCGCGGCCCGTGCGCCGCCTCCCCCGGCCCGTCGCCGCCCGTTGTGGCCCGTGCGCCGCCTGTCCCGGCCCGTCGCCGCCTGGCTCGTCGCCGCCCTACCCTACCTGCGGCCCCGCCGCCCTACCTAGCGGCCCCGCCGCCCTACCTAGCGGCCCCGCTGCCTCACTCGGCGGCCCCGCCACCCTACCTGCGGCCCCGCCACCTCGCTCTCGGCCCCGTCACCTGCTGCAGCGCCGCCCGCCACCCTAGCCGCCCGAGCCGTCTCACCCGGCCGAGCAGCTGACCGCCGTGCCGCCCTTCAGCAGCACAACCGAGCCGCCCGACAGCAGAGCAGCCGAGCCGCCCAGCAGCCGAGCCGCCCGGCAGCCGAGCCGCCCTGCAGCCGAGCCGCCCAGCAGCCGAGCCGCCCAGCAGCCGAGCCGCCCGGCAGCCGAGCCGCCCAGCAACCGAGCCGCCCAGCAGCCGAGCCGCCCAGCAGCTGAGCCGCCCAGCAGCCGAGCCGCCCAGCAGCCGAGCCGCCCAGCAGCGGAGCCGCCGACCCGCCGAGCCGCCCAGCAGCTGAGTCGCCGAGCCGCCGCGCCGCCCTCCTTCCGGGCCGCCCGACCTGCCCAGTCTGGTGAGCACAGCGCCTTTTCACTGCACTGCCCTCACCCTACTGTTTGCGCTGCTAGTCGTCTAGGGTCATGGCTACCCCTGGTGTTCTCGTCTTTGACGGTGAGGGTCGGGCCATTGACTTTGAGGTCTGGGTAGATGACCTGCAGCTGTTCTTACAGTGCGATAGGGCAGACGGCCTCTCTCTCTTTGACCTCTCCTCTGGAGCCTCCACTGCCCCTGCTGCTGATGCTGACGCCACTGTTCGCTCCCAGTGGGCCACGCGCGACGCTGCTGCACGTCTTGCTGTGCGTCGCCACCTCCCTACCTCCGAGCGTGCGCACTTTAGTCAGTACAAGAGTGCTCAGACCTTGTACGACGCTGTAGTTGCGCGCTACTCCTCCCCTGCCACTGCTGCACTGAGCCGTCTCATGCTACCGTACCTCTTTCCTGACCTTGCTGCCTTTCCCACAGTCGCTGACCTCATTACGCACCTCCGCACTAGTGACACTCGCTACCGTGCTGCACTCCCTCCTGACTTCTGCGCCAAGAACCCCCCCCCCATGTACACCACTCTTTACTACATAGTCACTCGCCTTCCTGACTCCCTTCGCGTAGTCAGGGTCCACTTTCTCTCTGTCTGTCCCACCACTCTCACTGTTGACCTCCTCGAGAAGTCCCTCCTAGCGGCCGAGAAGAGCATAGTCGCTGTAGGGGCCTCTCGTGGTGACCCGCGCACCACCATCTTTGAGGGGTGTTCCCCCTCCCCCCTTCTGCCCTCTGTTGCCTCTGCTGCTGCGGCCGACCTCCTTGGTCTTGAGTCGGTCGGTGTGGCGTCTGCCCCTAGCGGGAGACGCCGCTCTGGCAAGGGCAAGGGGGGCAAGGGCGCTGGAGGAGCGAGCGGGGGCGGTGGAGGTGGAGGTGGCGGCAGTGGGGGGAGTGGGGGTGGCGGTGGGAGTGGAGGTGGGGGTGGAGGGGTCGGTGGCGGCAGTGGAGGCGGAGGTGGCGGCGGCGGTGGCGGTGGGAGCGGAGGTGGCGGAGGAGGCGGCGGTGGAGGCGGAGGCGGAGGCGGCGGCAGTAGCGGAGGCGGCGGAGGCGGCGGAGGCGGCGGGGGTGGCGGTGGTGCTGGTCGCGGGTCTTCGCAGAGGAGTGGCTCCGGTGGTGGCTCGCGCCAGCAGCAGCAGCGTGGTCGTGACACCCTGTCCCCTC